AAAAAAAAAAAAAAAAAAAAAAAAAAATCTTAGAAGAAACTACCGAGTTGTAATGGCCTCTTCCAATCTCTACAGTGTCCTAGTCATTCTAGCAATATTTTTCCCTTCAATTTTGGCAACAGATTATGTCGTTGGCGACGATAAAGGTTGGACGATTAATTTCGATTACCAAGCTTGGGCTCAAGAAAAGTTGTTCTATGTTGGCGACAATCTTGGTAATTAAATTATGCAACTCTTCATTCTCAAACTTGTAATTTCCTTTTTCTTCTTTTAATTGTTGGTTTGGGAACTAAAACTAATTGAAAGATTCTTGTGATTTGGTTTTGTGCAGTTTTTAATTATCCAAAAGGAGCCCACACTGTGCTCAAAGTGAATGGGACTGGCTTTCAGCAATGTGCAGCTCCATTAGACAGTGTGCCATTAACAAGTGGAAAAGATGTGATCAACCTCGCAACCCCAGGGAGAAAATGGTACATTTGTGGTGTTGGCCAGCACTGTGAAGTGGGGAACCAAAAGCTTGTTATAACTGTTCTGCCATCTTCATCTTCATCTGCTCCAAGCTCGAGCCCAAGCTCATGGCCTAGCGCCACGGCTGGGCCAGGTCCCAGTACATCTGCAGCAACAACTGTTGGAATAAGATTTGCTTTGATAATGCTTCTTACTATTGGCTTTCTTTGGCTGCTCATGACTTGATATTTGATTGTACATTCTTTTGTTGTTGAGTATTTGATTCATTCTTTCTTGTTATTGAGCGTGAGGTTTCAAATCAGTTTGTGATGCCACAAACATTTTTATTATTCATCCACATCGATTGTAATTTGAATCTTAATGAAATCATAGCACATATTTCGTGTGAAATCAAACAACATTAACCAAAGTGAATGAAAAGATAGTCTAAAATTCCTTTAATACTTTGAGTTGGTAAGATTTGTAAAAGGGCGACATCAAATATGGAGTCTTTCTAAACCGGACTACGTCATAAATCAAATAAAGCCAATTTGACAGTAAGATCGATCAGACACAACATCTACTTTACATTACTTAAACCAAGCCTCTCCTTACTTTCCCACATATCACATGAGTTTTCTGGGGTCTAATCTGCATTGTATTTCAACAATTAGAACTGTTAATGTATTTCAGCATATGAACGGTTCATTTTTTAGTTATTCACTCAAAGATCATCTATGCAAACAATCATAAGAATCCAAAATCATTCAACCATGCACTTAATGGTTATTATTTTAGTGTTCTAAGGGCCCATTTGGTTCAAGGTTTAGGAGCTTGGAAATGGGTTTCAAATTGCATTCCCATCTTGTTATTTTAAAACACTACTTTTGACCCTTAAAAACACTCTTCAAATTAATAACTTTTAATAATAAAAAATCAAGGGTATTGTTAGAAAATTGAACAACATTTCATTCATAATATGACACAAACTAAACATGGGAATGAGAGAAAATGACAGTTCCTAAAGTCCTTATTTCCTAGCGTTCCCAAACATGGGAATGAGCATCCTTCATTCCCATCTCGTGGGATTAGACATAGGAAGTTTATCCCCAAGAAGTTTAATCCACGGGCCAAAGAAAATAGATGGTTCGTAGGCATTAATATTTGATATAATTATCCAATTAAGAAAGTTTTTGTTTTTTGTTTTTATTTTTTTGTGCAAGCGATATTTAGGTGGAAAGATTCAATATCATGACCTCAAGTGTAGTGACAGCTACTTGTACTTGAGGTACAAACTCCATGCATCCAATGAAGACAGTTAGAGACAAGACCATATATATGACAAGACAAATAATTGATGCCGGGGAAAAATACCACCTTATACGCGTTAAGAAGTTTTCTTATGGAGTGGGGAGGCAGGCAGGCCACCAGTGACTTAGAACTTGGTCATACAAAATAAAAGAGCCTGACTGTAAAGTGATTTTGACTAGCTCCAACAAAATATTACTATTCTAATAAAATCTAAGCTCAACCCAAATACTTTCGTGCCATTAGGCAGAGTTAGTGCCGACCTTGGCCAGTGGCCAGACCAGACCTTATAAATTGGCAGCATTTCATCTTATTTCGGTAAGCAAATCAATTGAGCTCCTCCTCATCTCAAAACACATTCATTCAGACCCTAAAAAAGAAAAGAAAAGAAAAAAATAACCGAATTCATATAAGAAAAAGAAAAGAAACTACCTACTCCCGTACTAGCTAGTAGCTGCAATCAATGGTCTCTTCCAATCTCTACATCATCCTTGTCACTCTAGCCATTTTTGCCCCTTCAGTTTTAGCAACAGATTATGTCGTAGGCGACGATAAAGGTTGGACGATTAATTTCGATTACCAAGCTTGGGCTCAGGGAAAGTCATTCTATGTTGGCGACAATCTTGGTAATTTAATTTTCTGTTCCCAAACTTAGCTTTTTTAAATAAAATTATTTGTATGAGAATGAACTCAATATTTTCTTATATGATTTGGTTTTATGCAGTTTTTAACTATCCAAAAGGAGCCCACACTGTGCTCAAAGTGAACGGCACTGGATTTCAACAATGTGCAGCTCCATTAGACAGTGTGCCATTAACAAGTGGAAAAGATGTGATCAACCTTGCCACCCCAGGGAGAAAATGGTACATTTGTGGTGTTGGCCAGCACTGTGAATTGGGGAACCAAAAGCTTCTTATAACTGTGCTGCCATCTTCATCTTCATCTGCTCCAAGTCCAAGCCCTAGCTCATGGTCTAGTAAGGCATCTGCAGCAACTATAACTGTTGGAACAAGATTTGCTTTGATGATGCTTCTTACTATTGGCTTTCTTGGGATGCTCATGGCTTGATGTTTTGGATCAGTATTTAATTAATTATTTACTTATTTTCCTGTTATGAGGTGTGAGTTTTAAGTTTTAACAGGTTATGTGATACTATTGTAAACATTATTATATATATGGTATGGATTATTCTTCCATAATATTTATACGTACTGTTAGCACATATCAAAATTCACTCTCTAATCAAATCAGATAACTAGTCCTGTGATAATAGAAAGAATCACATAATTGTATACATGACACCTAAAAATCTTCTTGACTCACTATGCCAAATTTCACTTTACGCAACACCACATAGGCATCGGTGAAACGAAATACCAATGCTGTTAGTATATTAGGCATTGGTTTTATATTTAGCATCGATGATTGAATTATACCGATACGTAAAATTGTTGGGCGAAAAATAAATTTAAGCGTCAATTTAGCTCCGATGCCAAAAGCCTATAGTTGACCGCTACAGTGTTTTATCCCCAAAAAAATTTCGGTCCTTTGTGGAAATATCAGATTCCCCCTTCTCTCAAAAAATTTCCCTCTTATCTCTCTCGATACCCACAGAGATGATAGTGACTGAGCTCCCATCTTCTCACCTTCAAACTCCCTCTCTTATCTCTCGTGATACCCCCCATTCACCCTATACCCAGTCACCGACACTCTCTCATCACTCTCTCATCCAGTCATAGACAGTCACTCTGTTCGCCTCCTCTTCGTTTTCAGATCTGTGCTCTTCAGTCGTCCCCTTTACTCCTCTCGACGCTGCTTCTTTAGCTAGGGTTCGTAACTCCGATCCTTTATCGGTACGTGCTTGCTTTTGTGTTTTAATTGCTCTATCTGTTTTAGGGCTCTGCGATTGCTAATGTTCTCTGTGTTGTGAATTACTTTCTATTTTTGAAATTTTAGTAAAGTTAAAGTCATAGTTTGGCAGATCTATACACGGCATTTTTTGATTTGGGTAATTTGTTATACATAGAATTTTTAAGTTTAGGGTTTGATTATTCTTCATCTGAGTTCTATTATTTTTCATAGATGTTGCATGTTGCAATTTGAAGCTTATTTTTCAGTTTATTAAGGTTGTGGGTTTTTGACATTGTTTACTGAAAATGGGTGCCTTCTTTCAGAGACTGAGTAAGGGCACCACAATAACCTTCAACAACTTATTTGGTGGTCAGTTGAAGTCCAAATTTTGCGTTCCCTTTGGAGCTCATGCATCTGCCTTTGGTGGAGTCTCTTATCTCTATCTGTACTAAATCTTGATAACTACAGGTAAGACAAAACATCTTCCTTTTCAATTTATGTTTGTACTCTTTTGAGTGTATTTGTTTCTCACTATTTGAGTTCTGAGTTTCGTATGCTTCTATTTATGCCTTTGAGGGTAAATGTTGGCAGCAAATTAATTATTGGCAGACTAGTCACCGTAGTAGCTAATCTTTTTAATTATGTTAATCATCATAATTAATTAATTAAGTGCCCTTTCGATCTAAAGCATGACCTGATTTTCATATACTTGACCTCAATTATTGTTGGAGTGTAAAGGTCTGTGAATGTGTTACTACTAGGTTCTGTAATGTTCATTGTGATTTTGAAATAACAAGGCTTAAGTTAATTATGCATGTGGTATGTAATTCATGTAACATCATCGCAATTGAGCTCAGTTGCATGCAATTGGCTTCTACCCTTTTTGTTTTGAATATGAACTAGTGTTTCCTCTAACTTTATTGTATATTGGTAAAAATGATGGGTTAAGCAATTATGGAAAAATCTTGGATGCTTGCCGATAGGAGAAGTAAAGAGTATGAAGAGGGAGTTGAAGAATTTCTAAGGATAGCATTAGAAAATGCTATTGATCATGGACGCATTTGTTGTCCATGCTAGAAATGTGGGAATACAAGAAAGTTTACGATTAGAGTAATAAGGGAGCATATGTATTTTAATGGTTTTGACTAAACATACAAGGATTGGATATGGCATGCCAAGCCTATTGAAATAAATGCTAGTGAAACTGTAAATCAAGAACCACAGCCGGAACGTGATTTTTTTGGTGAAACGGTTGACATGCGCGAAGGTGCACATTAACACTTCACTGAAAATCCAGAGGAATTTAAGAAGTTTGTGGAGGAAGCCGAGAAGCCTCTTTATCGTGGGTGTCATAAGCACACCAAGTTATCAGGATTGGTTAAGTTGTACAATCTTAAAGCAAGGCATGACATGACTGACAATTGTTTCGCGGATATGCTGATCGAAGTTGGTGATTTGCTCCTGATCGGTCAAGAGCTACCCTCGTCTATGTATAAGGCAAAGAAGACGTTGAATGCATTGGAATTGAAATATGAGAAGATACATGCATGCTATAATGATTGCATTTTTTATAGGAAGAAGTATCATGATTTGACAAGCTGCCCTAAATGTGGCCTTTCAACATGGAAGGTGACAAAGAAGAACGTAGTGAAGAAATGGGTCCCGAGAAAGGTTTTATGGTACTTTTCTCCTATCCCCAGGTTTAAACGTATGTTTAAGTCCTTGGAAACATCTAAAAGTTTAACTTGACATAATGAAGCTCGAATAAATGATGATCGATTGCGTCATCCAGCTGATTCGCCATCGTGGAAGATGATTGATTATAAGTGGGCAGATTTTGGGATTGAGCCAAGAAACCTTAGGTTAGCTCTTTCTTCGGATGGAATCAATCCACATAGTTCTCTTAGTAGTAGATATAGTTGCTGGCTAGTGATTTTAGTGACATATAACCTGCCTCAAGAGTTGTACATAAAGAGGAAGTTTATGATGTTAACGTTGTTAATTTCTGGCCCTAAACAACTTGGTAATGATATAGACATCTACTTGGAACCATTAGTTAATGATTTAGCATTACTATGGGATGGGGT